CAAATGGCCCAAGTCTATCTGTAGATAGTCATCAGGGTCGGTTGTCGTCTTTGGGCCCCATCCTTTGGCTGCTCCATTCAGACGTGCATTCTTCGGAGCATATCTAGAGTCAAACTGTGAAGATGCTGTAAATCTGTTATCTGGGATAATATTACGGTCTGCTATACCAACAGCACTGTCCTGACAACCTGTATTCACACAAAGAAATAATTTGGTCAGTTTTGAGAGATCCCGTGAGTACGATGTTTAACGTGTATAGGCAACCTGCTTTCAAAGATAATACCAGGAACGGTAACTATGGCCACATCCAAACTAATGCATTTTGTAAACGCTCCTTTCGCCTCACACTGGAAAGCTTCGCGTCGACCTTCGCGTTTTCATAGCGCTTTCGTCCGTCCACACTTTAGGGTGGCTTCCAGCTACAAATTGCGAATAAATTGAGCTATTATTCCTTACTCCTTCGTATCGCTTCAAAAAAACCTCGGGTATTTCTGACTTTATAGCACACTGTAGTAGCTCAAACATTTAGGCTCTTAAAGTTGTATTCGAAATTATATTTTTTACCGCATTTGCCGTTACCGGCCTATTTTCTAACAGTGGTTTTTCACAATATTGTCAACCAGCTTAAATTTAAAATTGATGGATTTTCATGAAACTTTAAATTCTCAATTAGTAGAAGGCGATAAACATCTGTCTCCCGAGTTTGAGGGAAAATGTATATCGAGCGTATTTTTTATTTTTCGGCCTATTTTGCCGCACAACTACTTCCGCTCGGTGGATTTTCTAATTCAGACATATCCGAGTGTTTTTGACACAGATACTAGCGAGTTAAAAATAAGCGCTGAATTCACAGGCAATAATGTTGGAGTCACCTTAAGACGATCAAAACCGCAGATACGATCGGAAATCATGAAAAATCGTCATTTACACATGCGAAAAACAGACGTGCTCGTTTGAGTGACGTAAAGCCTGGATCATACATATGATCGCAGACGATCGCAGATGATCGCAGACGATCGCGCTCTATCGCTCGATCGAAGAATCCTCTCAACCGAGGATCTGAAATCGAACGTTTACATATGATCGCAGCCGATCGCCGGCGGTCTGTTGACACCTGAGTGCGAATTATCACTCATCTGTAAAACAAAGTACCATGCAGATTCAACATGGACGACGGAGACGAATTAGTTGTGATCGGTGTCAATATTCTACTCTTGTTAACCTTACTTAACCAAAGGATCGCTGGCAAATCAAAAAAGAAACGTTCAACTTTATGATCGTGAATACTTCTTTAGGTGATTCATCATATGAAGAACAGGACGTGCAATCTTAAAATATACCCCTAAACGAAACTGTTGTTTACTTGTCTATATGGCTTACAAACGTAAATTAGTATATATAATCGTGTGTTGATACTTTTGAACCAGTTATATCTGAATAAAAATCTAAAAAGAAGTGATTTTTCGCTTGTGAAAATCAAAAATATACACGTGTTTTATGGAAAACTGAGCATTGTGGGACACATTCCAATCTCACGATCGCAGAATTCTGTTCACATATAATCGCAAACGGTCGCAAATGATCGCAAACGATCGCAACCGATCGCAGGAATAGAACCCGATTCTATTCCTACGATCGCGATATCGCACATACAACACAACACGATCGCAGAGCTGTTCACATATAATCGCACTCGATCGCCAGCGATCGATTGCGACCGTCTGCGATCGTCTGCGATCATATGTGAACCAGGCTTTAGCGTTTTCGAAAGCCACCGGGTTTTTTTCCCTGTACACATGGGCCCGGTTGTAAGAAGGCTTAATAGCACAATCCGACGGATAAATCCTATTCCAGTGCATAAGTCGATTCTGTTATCCAATAAATTTATCAGTGGATAAGATTTATCCGTCAGATAGCACTATCCACCCTTCGCACAACCGGGCCCTGTATCCCTGAATTTTAAAAGTAAGGTAAGTTAAATAGAGGTAATTTACCAGCCAGGACAAACAAACTGTACGTACCTGAGGACCAAAGGTCGAGTTTATAGTAAGGCCGTTTTATTTTTAAGAATTTGAAAGGGAATCGTATGGGGCCGAGTAAAATCAAGGAATATTTTCACGAGTGTTTTCAAAGTTTTGAAATTGCCCGAGTCTCGAAGCGACGGTGGTCTTTCCGAGACCCATTTACGGAAAACATTAATCAAGATACCTGTGCTCTTTCTAGTGTTCTCATTTTCGCTTGGACTTTTTAGTTTTCTTGTGGTTTCTTCGTCTGTCAATGCAAAACGGGAAGCCATTTTCGCTTGCAAAAAAAGGTTTACAGTTTGCAAGCGTTGCTAGTCAACTGAACTACCAATCATGCTCTAGTAATTCGGCCCTGCGAATTACGGAAAAAAGCCCTTTTTCATTAGCCAATCACAATCGAGTAATTTTGCCATGCATGTGATAAGAAAGGGAATGGATATAGTATATCTACATCGTAGATCGTTCAGTAAAATTTACAAAAACATTAAAAAGACAAATTACATGGTTTCACAAAACTTTAGCCGCTTTAATTTCCAAGTTTAACAGTTCCCAAGTTCTCCAAGTTGGTGCCGAACTTACGAACCTTTTGTGAAATTGGTTCAATCAACCGTGACTTTTCTAATGTCTAGAATTCAAATATTTACTGTTATTGCTTCTTTAAACCATAACGTTTCGAAAATTGTATCCCAGACAACGTACAGAGTCATATTCGTTTTGTCGCAATAAAATTTACTTTGAAAATTGGATTTGAATGGTAGATTTGATGAGTTTTAGAAGCTACTGTATTATCAGTTTGAAAGATCGCCGACAACCGTCGGAACTTCGAAATTGATTACAAAGTTGTGAACTTGCGAACGAAGTTTTATGAAATCATAGTTAAGAATAAAATCAACTGTAATGGGAGGGAGATGACCGACACCGCGGAACACCCTAGTAATGTATTCACATATCTTGCAGATTTTAAATGTATTTATGCTACTGCACCTCACTTCTTCTGCACCCTCGTAACACCTAAAAAAATGCCTGATTCGGTCTTAAAATTACTTCCCAAAGCTTCTGTAATCAAGTAGGTACTACCCTTCCCCCTCC